AATCTTCATTTCCCTAACCCGCGGCTTCCCTCCCTGTGTCCCTGCCTGCCCCCATCTTCCACCGCTTCAGGCCTGAGTTTGCCAACAACCGCAAGACACAAGCTGTGCTTCAAAGAGAGGCTCCTTGTTCTTGTTTTTTGACCGCCCTGCCGTTTCTGACAGGATTTCGCTCATTTCTGAGGCCTCCTTGAATCTCCGCAGGTCCTTCAGTGCGGCTGTTCTTGAGGAAAGTGAGTTTTGATCCTCCCCAGAGATTTTCTCGATGTTCACAAGATCACCGACAGTTCCTAGACATTAATAACGGGAAGATCTAGAAACTGCGACGTGCTGGAGACGCCACCCCCTTCCTTAGACAGGCAATAAGTCAGAGGGGCGCTTTCCTTCTACTCCCACGCCCATCATCCCTGCCCCCTCCCATGCCCTTGTCTTTCCCGCCCTCGCAGGGCCCCTGCCATTGCGCGCAGAATCCGCCAGGGGGCTCCCTGGCAGCCGCGGGAAGGGCCGGCGGCCGCCCCGCTTCAGGAGGGAACTGAGCATGCGCCTGGCTGTTCGGCGAGCGCTGCCCGGGCGCTGCCCGGCAGAAGCCGGAGGCGCGTCCGCCCTTTGCACGGCGTCCGATTCTGCAGCCCTCGCCGGGAGCCTTCGGCTGAGCCTTTCCGGGGGGCTGCCAGGAAGCCTCGCAGGGATGGCGGTCCGGACGCGGCTCCAGGGTTCAGTGAGTGGGGCGCTTCTCGGGCAAAGGGGTCTCACGCTGGAGCGCGCCTGGAGACCTGCGAAGTCCTCGTCCAGGTTTGGAGCCGTGGGAAGGGGGGAGCCCGGGGCCCCATGTTCCCCTGCCGCCCCTTTGCCTGCAGGGCCCAGGCAGGGGGGAGAGCGGAGCTGCAGACCCGCCGCGTTGCCCCCGGGGGGGAAAATCAGGATCGCCCGGACGGAGGGAGCCATTTAGGCAAATAAGGAAAATGTTGCACGGATGGAGGTGCAGCGGGGTCTGAGGTGCAGCATTCACACTGTGTGCCCAATTGGGCCG